GTATCTGGAGCTAATATTTCTGTCATGCAATTTCATTTTTGTTTTGTCATCCTTGTCTTCGTCGTAAATATTCTTGAGCCACAATAGAGTGGCAGACCATCATTACTTGTTTTTTAAAAATACGACAGCATCCATCACATGATGACTTGAGAAGTCACGACCATACGCTTGCTTCAACAACAAAATTCAAAAGGGAATAATCAATGCATATGAAAGAACTAGAATATTTACTACGTGTCCATAATATTAGCATAAAAGCAAAAACATTTGCGAAGAAAATAATGAATGTTGTTATCATCTTGGATATGAAATCTAGAATAAAAGGAAACAGACAGGAAAGAACTTATTCTTATTAGTGACTATTTAGATTTCCATAAATAATGTTCTGAGGTAATTCAGCAAGAGCATACGAAAGAATCATGACTGATGTAAAATAAATGTTTAGATCAATATTTCATTTTTTATATCTGAAAGTAAATGTGACGTCATCGTCCGAAAAATTTTTGCTGAAAAAACTATTTTATATCGATTGTAATTGATTATAATCTGGTTTGCAGTCAACATTTTTTATGCGGGCAACGACATCTAGAAGGAGGTTTAAGGGTCTCCCTTAGAAAAGTCGATTTTAAGACTTGTATGTATACTCTAATAGTCCTTGCCATGAATTTTAACATGGCATAACTTTTTTTTTGTTTTTGATAATTTTTTTTGTGAGATCTCCTAGATGTCAAATATGAGCTCGCATTGTGTGGAAACTTTTGTACAATTATAGCACAAAAGTTAATTTCATATAAGTTTTGATGACACTGAATGGATGGTGCATACGTGAGGTGTGAGAGTGAGCATGTGGGTCTGATTATAGACTGTTAATAGAATAGAGATTGACTCTGATCCACAAACCGCATCTACGTTTAATGAACTATGATCACAGCGTTGGCATACGATGTATTTCTAAGAGTAATATAAAATATTCATATTTACACCATCTAATAAAGCTTGACGAACAATCCGAAAATATGAGATAACATAAGTAGCCTTATATCGAATAGAGCACTTACTAAATCAAAAACATTCTTTTTTCTTTTTTTCCAAATCAGTTTTTCGAGTGCAGCGTTTATTCGAGCAAAGTTTTCTTAATAACGATACAATATATAATGATAAGCATTTTACAACATAGCAGACAGTTAGGACTAGGTCTTCAAAGAGTCTGATTTTGAAGTTTCTCTTTTGCTGAAATAAAACAAACATAGGTCTTTGATTTTAATTTGCAAATTTTTTGGCGACAAATATGAGAATTTTTGAGAAAAGGTTTTTTAAAAGGAAAGAATAGAAAATGAAAAAAATCAGGCTCTATTACAACCTAGTCCTAAGTCTACTCTACAATTTAAAAGTCATCCAGATATTATAACTCATATCCTCGTTCGGGAAACCTTGATCTCGTAAAGGACACGTTTGATAAATAAATTGACTATAACTTCTGACCTTCTTTGACATTTGCGTAGATATTTTTATCCATGGTCTATTCAAAACAAGAGTAACAGTCTCTGAAACTTTGATTGAAATACGATGAAAAATGAAAAAGTTTATTTCTAAGCAGGAATAGATTCTTCTTAACAAATGAGTACATATAAGCAATATTGCAACTACCCATTAAACGTTTACGATTTCGATAGAAAGTTTTAAAACCCAGGAAAAAAAGGCATCACAATCAGCCGAATAGTCAATTAAGCACTGCAGATACAGTATCTGTTTGTTGCTTGTTGTAACTCATACTTTGAAATGCTGGGCCTTTATCATAGGACTTCATTTCTTTTCTGTGGAACTTACATATATTTTCAACGACAAGAGTGAATGTAAGTTTAAATGAAGATTTCCCAGGCTCTCCCACCCTAAACTCTAGCAACTAGAGTCAATGTTACAGATCCATGAATGTGTTCTGCGTAGCAATGGGAAGCAGAGGGTGGAGCAAACCAATAACTATTAGCTACGTTTTCCGAGAAATCGAGTACACCAACATCAAACTCTTTTATTCTTTTCACAGAATTTCTTAGTAACCTAAAATGAAGTTGAACAACATTCAAGGCAAGACTTAAACTATTCTATAAAGTTCTAGAATATCCTAGAGCCTTCCTTATAATTAAAAAGACTAGCATACGTTTGTAAATGATTTATACAGTTCAACTTGCGGTGCTTGTACAGATAAAATTTTATATTCAAAATGTGAAGCAAGATGAGTAATAATGTATTGTTTGGTTGCAGACGTCATAGGATCAACATAAAAGTCACAAACTGATCAAGTTATAACTTTTGGATATAAAAATACGTTTGTGGCTATCGATGTAGTGTAGCTATGAGTGTGAATCTTCTTTTCAACAACAGCAATAACCACATCCAAATCCTCCACTGTACGGATCTTCTAGTCTTTTTGACCTAACATTCTATTTCTGTTATCTGTTCTAATTATCAATATATTGCCTGTATATACTTGAAATTCTGTCAACCAATTAGAATCTTGAAGTTTGGCATTTTCTATTGCCTTATCTTCCATTTATTCTTGCTTTTCTTTAGGAATAAGTTTGAAAGCTTCTACATCCCCTTGGGATCAGTCATGATCTTTGAATAAAAATAATTACTCATTCGATGGAATTTTTTATTCTGCATTGATTATATATTGATAAAGCATGACAACTGTGCTCTGGGTTAAAGTGAATTTTATTTGATTCAAAAGAACATCAACCACGTCGACACATCATCTTTTGACCTAATATTTTCAAGAAACTGAAGACTGCTTTACGGAATACACTTCCACCACTTAACGTATAAACATAGAATGGCATTCCGGAAGATACGTTAGAAAGGAGAAGAAGCATGCTGAAGACAAAATTTTCAATAGTTTTTCTCAATGGTGACTTGGGCATGTATTGAGTTATGGTTGAATAGAGTTTATCTATAGCCAGTGGAAAAGTAAATAGAAAGAGGAGAAAAACTTGAACCAATAACATGATCAAAAGACGACGATCTGTTTTCTTCTGTTCACTCGTTCCATGTAGAGTGTTATTCGTCGCCGTATTGTTACCGGTATGACCATCCATCGTTCTATTCGCTGGTTGCAAACGAGAGCGTGATTTACCTATATTCGAGATAGTCATCAAACCAAACATAATCATCAATACCAAGGGTAATAGAAATGTAATCAGAGCAAGGGATAGATCTGATAGAAAAGAACACCACAGTGATTTCGTATAACATTTGAGTGGAGTATTGGTGAGATTGGCTTCAAAGCAATAGAGATGTTGTGCTTCAAAAATACTTGAAACAATGACAATCAGAATCGTACCCAGTTGAGCATTCTTTAATGTACTTCTTTGTCGTCGACTAGCATTGATATTTGATGAAAGCCATCGATCAACCGTTGCAAACATGATAAGCCAAGAGCTAATAGTGATTCCATCGAATAGCAGAAAGGCACGAAATTTGCAAAGAAATAAATTTGTACTTGTTAGATCAGCAGACCAAGTTGATAATAATCGAGAAGTGAGAGCAGCAAGAATAGCAATGCCATTAGCAATGGATGAAACAAGAAAGAGCCATGCGCAAGGATTTGAACGAAGTGGTCGTTGTGACAAAACGCATGCATTAATGGTATTACCCACAATACCAAAGAGAAAGATGAAAAATCCAAAGTACCGATTCATTTGAGTTGAAGCATTGTTCAACGAGGCAATTAGACTTGCATCTGATGTCGATGACATTTGTTCAGTGAATGAAGGAACTAAGTGAAGAAAATGGAATAATGATAAATGATAGATGTGATGATATAATTTTAATCTGTCAGATAGTCTCCCATGGCGACAGATTCTGACGAGTGAAGGCATCTACTAAATTATGATCGCATTAGTTAATAAAAGTCTTGTGTAAATCGAAAATACCGAACAGATACGCGAACATTGAATGTAAAAATAGAGAAGTTTCTCTCTGATACTTATATTACTAAACAATTAGAAGACAACCAGATTGAATGTAACATCATCACTAAGAAAAAAACCAGTCGATTTACGGAATGTACAACGAATGATTATTGCTTGAGTTAAATCCACATTGACCAATTGGTTTTACATAATTAAGATGGTACAGATACGGATGTGATTATGAGGTGTTACTATAATAGTGATCTTGCCGTCAACTGCATTCACATATGGTTGTAGGTATTCTTTTCAAGAACATCTACAACCATACACCTGATTCTGCAGATTTTTCTGCAGTGGCGCTCGGCTCTTTGACCTGGTATTTTGTTTGTGTTGTCTCTTTTAATCATCAAAGTATTTTCTGTCTTATCTTCAAATCTTGATAGTTAACAAAAGTATTGGTGTCTGATCTTTTGTATTCTGTTCTGTTCCATTTGTGCTTGCTATTCTTTGGTGATAAATTTGAAAGCTTCTACGTATCTCAAGGCTTAATCATGGCGTTTAGCTAAAGGTAATTATGCATTACTTAAAAGCTTTATTTCTTCGCTGATTATTTGTTGATAAAAAGCATTATAACTGTGCGCAAAACTAGAGTTAATATTATTTCATTCAAAAAACAAAAAAAAAAAAAAAATTCAGCCACATCGACACATCATCTTTCGACTTACTGCTTGCAGAAAACTGAGCAGAGCTTTTCTGAATATACTTCCTCCACTGAGTGTATAAATATAGAAGGGCATTCCACACGAAATGTACAAAAACAGAAGAAATAAATTAAAGACAAAATTTTCAATAGTTCTCTCCAATGAAGACTTCAATGCAGATCGGGTCATGGTTGTATAGAGTTTATGTATAGCAAGTGGAAAAGTAAGCAGAGACATGAGAGAGACTTGAATCAACAGCATGACCAAAAGATGACGGTCTGTCTTTCTTCGTTGAGTCGCATGTGTAGTGTTGTTTGTCGCTGTGCTGTAACTAGCAGAAACATCCATCGTTCTACTCGTCGGTCGCAAACGAGTATGTGATTTATGTATATTAGAAATAGTCATTAAGCCAAAAATAATCATTAATAGTAATGGTACTAGAATTGTTACCAATGCAAAGAATAAGTCTGATACAATGCCACACCACAGTGATCTCGTATAACATTTGAGTGGAGTATTAGTGAGATTGGCTTCGAAACAATATAGTTGTTGTGTTTCAATAATAGTTGAAACAATAACAATCAGAATTGTAGCGAGTTGAGCATTCTTTAATGTACTTCTTTGTCGTCGACTAGCATTGATACTCGATGAAAGCCATCGATCAACTGTTGCAAACATGATAAGCCAAGAGCCAATAGTAATTGCAGTGAATAAGAGAAAGGCACGAAGTTTGCAAAGAAATGAATTTGTATTTGTTAGATCAGCAGACCAAGTTGATAATGGTCGAGAACTGAGACCAGCAACAATGCCAATACCATTTGCAATCGATGAAGCAAGAAAGAGCCATGCACAAGGATTTGAACGAAGAGGTCGTTGTGACAAAACGCATGTGTTGATGGTATTACCCACAATGCCAAAGAGAAAGATGAAAATTCCCAAGTACCGATTGAGTTGCATTGAAGCATTGTTCAACGAGACAATTAGACTTGCATCTGGTGTCGATGTCATTTGTTTAGTGAATGAAGAAATTAAATGAAGAAAATGGAAAAAAATGATAAATGATAGATGTGACGGCATTATTTTATATTTATCAGATATTTCCTCATGGCGACAGACCTTTATAATCTGGGTCATTGAGCCTTGGTGGCACATTTTTCATATATCGAGTCATATTAATCAACTTAATCTACTCAGAAATGATGGAATCTACTAAATTAGAGTTGTACCAATCGATAAAACCTGGAATAAATCAAAAACACCTAACAGATACGTGAACAATGAGTATGAAAATAGAGAAGTTCCGCTCTGATTTTTATATACGTTACCAATTAGAAGACAATAAGATTGGTTGTAAAATCGTCACGAAGAAAGAAACCAGTCTGGATATGGAATGCACAACAAATAATTATTGCTTGAGCTAAATCCACATTGACCAATTCTTTTCATATAAATACAATAGGTATTGTTTTCAGTTATAATGTAGTCATCATATTGCTATCCTCTTTTTTCTCTCATTATCATTGATTTTTTCGACGAAATAAAACTGTTGTAATAGCATCGTTGTGTTGTTGAATAAAGACAGGAAGACAGTAATTTGTATTCATTGTTTTCTTTTTATCATAAAACTAATATGTTTAATCATAAGAACTGCAAAAACTTGTTACCATAAAAAAGAATTTTTCTAGTGAATTATTTTGAAAAATATTTCAGTTGATCTTACATAAATTAATAGTTTATTTATTTTTAGAATAACTGTGTTTGTATACATATTCATCGATAATAATTTTGTAAATCAATTTCAAAATCACGTTAAGCAAAAACCCAAAGATAAACTATATAGTTTCCCTTGATATATTTGGATGTAAGTGAGTGCAGAGAAGATTAACACCTACATCCATATTCACATCCTCAAAATAAATGGCACGGATATTACATTATCACCCATGTCATCGATAACGGTTAAGTAGCGGCGTAATAACGCCACTATCGCGATCACACTGTGACCCCTTTTAGCGCTCCGCTATTTCCACTATAACGCGATATCACGGCAACAAATCAATATAACGCGCTATATTGGAGCATTTTTCTGTATTTCGATACTTCAATATATCACTCCTCTTAGTAGATCCTACTACCTATATTTATAGCCTTAATTGCAAAATACGTTTAACATAGAGATGATAGTTTTGAACTTTTATTCGATCATAAAAGAACTTACAATTAATAACAACTATTTTAAATGTTACATATTATTTAAAGAGAAACAAGATTGATACAGAAAAAAAAACATTTTTAAAGATACGAATGAAGTGCACAAAAAATCTTCTGAAGATCTTATTTAATGAACCATTATTCTGTTTATCAAGAAAAAGGATCGGTGGAATTTTTCGTTGCATATTAGTTCGAACGAACCATTAATTAATTAAAATTTGCGTAACGTGTCTGCTAGAATATAAGAAATTATTAATGTAAAATCGATCAATAAAAATGAAAACTGACCATGTTTTGATTAATATAATTTGTGAACATTTGTACAAATCAAATTTACTATCATATAAGCTTCACAATAAACCTACCATAGGTTTAATTAAATAGTCGATTTTTCCATCCATACAATCTTTAGTAAATAGATAACTGAATAAACACCAGATTATGTGAACATCTAAATTGATAATAAGAAGTCGAAGAACAATGGTGCACTTACCGCATC